CCCGGTGTGTGCTCACATATCAGGTCAAACAACTACCACCGCCGTAACTATCATCCGAGCAGGTCCCCTCACATCTACACCACAACAGCCCACAACCACCTGATCCCTGTCTGCCCTTTTGCTCCACCCAAAAGCAGGTTACCAGGAAGTAGTCACCCCCCTCCCTCCCAAGCAAGTCCTATTGGGATTTCTGTGTGTCCTGTGTGCGGCATTGTACATTTACCTGTTAGGCAACACTGCTCTTTCAGGCCACGCCCACTCCTGTTTGCTCCTTTACAAATGAAGGGGGAGGGGTGAAAGCTAGGACAGGTAGTGAGTGCCCAGGTAAAGCACTCTGACTCCCTCTACTGGTCAAAGTATACAAACGAGTGCGGCATGTCCAAACTGAGAACAGAGAAAAAACAATGCGCCTCACTGTTCACAAGCCAAGCGCGCTATCTTGATTTGCTTTACTCAGCTTCCTGGATCTCAAAGCATGGAGGGAAGCGTGAATAGGAATGCAGAGTTCAAAATGGATTCCCCACAGATGTTATTGTGTGATGTGAGGACTTTGTGGTATGCGCTGATGCATGCTGGGACTGGATATGCAAAAGGTGCTCCCGATCAGTATCTGTCTGGTGCACAGAGCAGAGGAAGTTATGACAGAAACTTCAAAATGTGCTCAGAAAAGTTGCGATGCATCTTATTTTGAACAATGTATTTTGACATATTTTTGTGGCAGTAATTTGAGCACCAGGTCAGGTATTAAAGGTGCATTGTAGGGATGTAACGATATCCAAGTCTCACGATACGATATCGTCACGGTATGAACCTCACGGTACGATATTTATTGTGATATCGTAGGAAAGCTCATGATATGGTGGGGAGTCTCACAATTAGAGATGTAACAATATCCAAATCTCTCCGTACGATGTTTTTACGATTTACATCTTATGGTATGAGATTTATTGTGATATTTTGGGGAGGCTAAACAGCTAAAACTGTTAATATGCTTCTTTTTCCTTTTAAAATGCCATGACAAGACTTAACCTAAAGAACTATGATTTAAAAGTGCTTAGAACTGTTATTTCTTCTTGTAGTCTACACTGAAATGGAGCAAAGGATCATGGTCTATGTAGTTCCCTCGTTTTTTTCTTGGTCCAAGATATTATTGTGAGAACTTTGACGATACGATATCACGATATTTCGATTATTGTTACATCCCTAGTGCATTGTGTAACTTTTCTGGTGGAGGTTCCGCCAAATGCTTTTCTTTGTGGAGATGTTATTGCCCTCTCTCAAAAGTTTCACCATATGGTATTACACCTTTCTATCTTCAGAAAGACCAAACCAGACCAAGTTACAGGCCAGATCTGTGGAGAGGCGACCCCGCTCACAATCAGGGCCTGTTTCTTTTTTTGTCATACTCTGAAACATATCCATAGAAACAAGCTTGTGAAAGACGCCCCCACCCAAAAAGTTACATAGTGGATCTTAAACATTCAGCAACGTGCAATGGGTCAAAAGTTTAAGCAGTAAGGGAGATTAAACAACCTCAAAGTTTGTGTGAATGTGTAAAGTAAATTAAGTCTTGTACACACACTAGCAACAAATATCATGATAGCTTTGTGTGTTAACTCCAGGTACGTTGTTGATGAGGAAACATTATAACATAAATTTGAAAATAGCGTAAAAAGGGCCCTTTAACAGGATCAAATCAAGTCTACAGGATAAACTGGGTAGGAACACACTATACAAGAACCAATGTACACACAAATTCAGCTCAAATAGAATGGAAAGACAACTGCCACAAAATGTGCGTTGTTTATTCTAATTCTTTGCTTCTCTTTTCAACATTCGTTCCATGGATTCCCTTAAGCCTTTAAATCTGACTGTAAATTCTTTTGGGTAGTCTACCAAAGCTTTGAGATTGTTAAATTTTTACAGATCAGCCAGACTTACAATAAATGCTTTCATTGGGTTAAGCAGCAGCGAAATATTTCTTCAGAGGTGTCGCTGTAAATTCTTTTTTAATCCAACTAGGCTGAATGTGAGTTAATAAATTGTTTGAACAAAGTAAATGACTTTATATAAACAAGATCACAATGGTGCAACTACTAGTAGATTATTTGGGTAACTGATTAATATTTACTGTTAATCAATAAGTCATTAGATTGCAAAAGGCTATGAATATAAACTAAATCTGACCCTGATTAAGTGTTGCGAATTTAGGACATCTTGATAGAGAGATACAGTATATTTAGAGACAATGTACTTTCTAATCAAGTATACAAAATGTACTGTTTGCCTAGCGTTTTTTTTGTTTTTGTTTATTTTTTTGTAGTACAGTAGTGTGTAGTCCAAAAAAAGTATTTATTGTTAGTTAATGATTATTTCAATATTGATTAAATGGTACAAAATAATTACTTTCATAGTTGGAGCTTTAACAATTTAACAATATAAGTCAAAGTTGAATGATTCAGACCCGGTTTCAATCTTAAGTGACACATGTCTCCTTCATAACACCCCTAAGTGAATCTGCATATTGTACATTTCTGTGCAGAGAAGTTGATGACAGGTTAGTATTAGTCCTGTCTGTCAGAGCCCAGTGTTTTAGTTTTGTTCAGACCCAAAGAGCTCCAACCAGATCTGTGTCAGTGGAGGCAGTGGAGCTGTCAATCACCCGTGTCACTTCCTGGATTAGCGTCAGGCTCCATCAGTGACTCAGACAGGAGTGCTGGGCAGGCTGCAGAACACTTAACACAGGAATTTGTAAAATGGAATAATTAAAGTAAGAATAAAGCTGTAATAGTTTCACTGAAAAATAGCTTTGAATACATGCACTATATTATGTTATGTAATAATACTGTTGATCATAAGGTCTATGTTATAATGCTGTCTACTCATCACAAACATACCTGGAGATGTATTTTGTTTTATTCCATGTGTGAATGAAGCATAACACAACTCTAGGTATGTTTTTGATGAGATAACAGCATTCCAATATGACTAAAAGTACATAAGAATACATTTTGCATAATATAGGACCTTTAATGGCCAACTATGGGACATTCTAGACAAAACAAAGCTCTAACACCTCCACGAAGAAAAGCAGGAGACTTTCCCTCTACCAGAAAAGCTACGCAGTGTACCTTTAATACATCCAGGTTTGAGATGTAATCTAACTGTCAGACTTTTCAAAAGCTGCTAAACCGTGACATTGAAATCATGGTCAAGACAAAACGCAACTTTGGATTTAAAAAAAAAAAAAATCCTTCACCTCTTGAGTATTACTTTTCTTCTTCCCTGCACAAAAGCCAAGTTAAATCCTCCTCTCTCCTCCTCTCTCCTCTCTCCGTTGCACATGAGCGACCTGCCTGTCTGCATTATCAGACCTGCACAGAGCTGATAGTCACTGCGGAGACTAGAGTAGTATTAAAACATTAGTACGCTCCGAAAGACGACAAGAAAAAGTGAGACTAAATCAAGCAGTGAACGAATAGTACAAAGAAAGACAAAAATGACAACTTGCTGTGAATTCAAATGATATGTTTTTGCAGTAGAGTCACGGAAGGACTCGGAAAAATGGAGAAGATGAATGGACAGCATAACAAAGCAGTGCATAGAGTTAATAGCTGTCATTGAAAGGATAAGAGGACATGGACACAAAACTGAAAATCAATATAGATGTGATCAATAGTCTTTATGTACACACTATCACAAGCTGGGCCCTTGGATTACGACTGAGTGAGACCATTATGCTGTGCCATGGGGCCTCGTGCAAAGCGTTTGATTTCCCTATGGTGATTGAATAAAATAAGTGGCTTTCTGACAGAATAATTGTAGTGCAGGACAAAAAACAGAAACTGACATTAAAGCAATTTGCAAAGTGAAGCGTGCTATTTGTGAGGCATAAAGAAGTCATATACAACCTGCATATACTATATAGCACAGTAAGGAGTCTTCAAAGTCAAGTGCTCTAAGATGTATTTCATATGTTGACTTTAAACCAAACACTGTGTAATTTCCTGATGGGGGCATGTCACCTGCATGTTTCTTTGGGAACAGAAAGGTAAAACTATACTTTTGAAAATTCTCCATGGGGATAGATAGAATTATGCCATACTGTAAAAAGTATACGGAAAGAAACAACATTTCCATGGAAACAAGCAAAGAAGAACATGGGAGTCTGGTGTGTTGAAGATACAAGATCACTCAGAGTAAAGGTATGTGTTTATGTTTTAATACAAGTATATTCTTTGGCTAAAACATTACGCAGTATGGCCTCACTGGTAAATAGTCACATTTTTATATAGCTCCATCTTCAAGGCACTCAAAGTACAGACCACAGACTGTATAAATGAAGTGGACTAAGCAAGTGTGACGTCACGCTCAGTGTTCAGCGCAGCTCAAATGAAACTTGCGATGCTAATGGTTACAGGAATGAATATGAAGCCAGTTAAACTGAAAAAATAGAGGGAAAAAACAAAAGGATCATGTAGAGCGGGTTAATACAAACATTTTAAGACCAAAATGACGAGGCTCACTGCAGCAGTTACAGAGAGAGGGACGACAAGATCCTAATGTAAATCAACTGGAGCCAGGGTCAGAAGGAGCCGGAAGAACCTCCTGGCGCACTTCCTATTTGTCACACGGAGACTAATGCGTTAGCTTTGTCCACTCATATATAGGTCTATGGCGCCGACACAAACACTGGGGCAAGGTGGGTGAAGTGTCTTGCCCAAGAACACAACAACAGCATTCATGTGTGGGATGACCTTCGGATCAGTGGACAAAAACTACCAACTCAGCTACTGTCGATTAACAATAAAACTACAGAGTATTTAATTTTGTCAGTTCTTTTCTCCATCCATTCTTCATTTTAAGGACTTATTGTACACTTATTTCACATATAGATCTGGTGAAATGAATGCAAATGTTGTGTATTTAGTGATGTTTAAAGTTTACGTCACTGTGCACGTGATTCTACACATCACTGACACAATAGATGGTGAGCTTACCTTTGCCCAGGGAGCAGTCTGGAGAGCCAAAGTTAGACAGACTGGAGATGTCTGTGTTATAGCACATGTCTGCCACCAGGGCCTTCTGTCTGCGGTGCACTGACGAATCTGCAAAGACAACAGACATTTATTATTGTATTATATTCCATGTTTATTTGATCCTGCATAAAATAAAAATGAACACATTGTTATAAACTTTCTTGGCTCACATAATAAAATGCTGTTAAATCCAATCATTCAAAGTACAAAGAAATCAATACTTATTAACAGTCACTTTCTTCTGAACACATGTGAGAATTCAAAGAAACAAACAGCTTGGCACGTGTGACCGTTTAAATCATCAATGCTTTTATAATTCTACTTTGAAGTTTCTTTCATGTACAGTGAGAAATGAATGAATTAAAACTGACTAGCCTGCCTCCACAAGCATTACTCTGACTAACACACAAACCAAGTCTGGTTTTAAAGGGGCAATAAGTAACTTTTCTCATGAAGGGTCTGCCACCTGCTTGTTTCCATGGAAATGTTACTGATTTGCTTGAAATATTCTACTGTGTTGGTTAAAACTTAAATATCTCCACAGATACAAGCAGTTACAGGTCAGATCTGTGGGGACGCATGCATGTTTTCACTGTATTTGTTAGCAATACAAACACCTGTAACTGAAATTGGAATATTCTAAGCCAGAGGTGTCAAACTCATTTTGGTCCGGGGGCCGTATCCAACCTACTTTGATCCAGAGGGGCCGAAAAAAACAAAAAAAGAAAAGGTATATATACCCTAAAAATAGCATTAAGTTCAAATATTTGTGCAGAGAAACACAAATCTATTACAGAAATCTTTTTTAATTGATGAACTCTTTCTTTTTTTTTTTTTAATATTATAATATTATGAACAACCTGAAACTTTAAGAAAAATACAATTTCAACACAAAGTTTTAACATGAACTTGTATGTAGGAATAAGTCAATTTTTCTTGCAAAATCCTGCACTTGGCTCCACTTTTCTCATGTTGGACATTTTTCTGATTAGGGTGTCATGGTCAACAGTCAAAACGATCGTCCTTTAAGAGCGTTTGGAAAGAGACAAATCTTCATTTGTGCTGCTCTGGTGGGAGGGGCCACGTACAGAGACACTGGAGACACTGCTGTGATAAACACCACAGAAAATTAACAAGATTTTAATAGAAAATATAATTCAAATATTTTAGTAGAAAATCAGCCGAGGGCCAGATTAAAGGTCTTGGAGGGCCGGATCTGGCCCCCGGGCCGTATGTTTGACACCTGTGTTCTAAGCAATAAATCAACAAGTTACATAATGCGTCTTTAAATTGAACCTTTTATACTATAGGTAAGAAATCTATTGAGGTTCATTGGCTGACTTTAAGAATCTGATGAAGTACTTGACATAGGCAGTTTGAGCAGAACCGTCTGAAGCACAGTCTCTGCTCATTTACATTGTGTGACAGGTTTAATTTCAGGAGCGTATGTCATTCATTAGATCTCTGACCTTAGCGCACTTCTGTCAGGAGCAGCCTCTGAGCTTTTCGATTCTCTTAAACACAGCTCTACTGCTCTGTAATAGGGAGATACGCACTTAGATGAGAGAAATGATTCAATTACGATCTGTACCTTTTTGGCTCAGCTTTGAAACGATTTACTATCCAATTCAGTAACTTTGATGAGCTGAAATACTAATATAATATGTACATGTTTGAACAGCTTAAATCATCAGTGCTAATTCACACATCCATTACCAGTCTCATTTAAAGGTACACTATGTTACTTTTCTGATGGAGTCCCTGGAGACTTTATTACTGTACCTTGAATATTCTACAAGTATTAAACTCTATCTCCATGGAAACAACCAGGGATATCCCACCACTCCAAGATACAGGCCAGATCTGTAAAGAGGCGACTCCATTCACTTTCAATACATAAAGCATTACATCACAACTGACCAAGGCAATACTTTTAATAACTCTATTAGTTCACTCTATAAAGATAAGTCTATTGATACTTCCCAATGAAATGACACTGGGGGTGTTCTACATGTATGTCTACTGGCGGAATGTTCATCAGTTACTATGGAGACAGTATGCACACATGAGCACACACTAAGCTTTTTTTTCAGGAGCCTGTGATCAATACCAGCGTTCATAGTCCTGTTTAGGTGTTTGATTTGAGTGACTAACTGTAGCCGATGCTACAGGTTATCACTATTGTTTTCTTTGTTTCGATTTTGGTCTGAGGATGGAGTTGTAAATAGGAGAGATGATGTCTGTTCAAAATGGATTGTCTTTCCTAACAGTTCTGGTCAGACGAAGTTTAAAAAAGCACAGATTAAAGTCTAAGACAGCCAAAAACAGAGCAGTGCTTACAGTTAGCACCACACCTCAAAGATATGTTGAAGACACGTACCAATATAACATTGTCAGCAGTGTTAGATGAGCTTCATAAACAATACAAACCCAGATGGGGTTCATAGTATCATGATGAAGTGTGTTTGTGTGAGCCTGGTGATAAATGCCACAGTGAAGATGTCTGCTCTGATGGACTGAATGCCAATGTAATTACACACTTATATAGATGAGCTGTCTCCTGCTGCTGTACAGCTCTGGGCTCTCATAATGTTTGAGTTTCAGAAATGTACATTTGGTCCACTTTACTTAATTATATTAAGGACTCAAATAAGCCTTATGCAATTTAAGTACAGACAGAGAAGTGGTATTATATTACAGTAATACACTTAATGTTAATGGGTGGGATATTACTGAGCTGGGCAATATGGGAAAAACAAAGAATCACATTTTTTCCCCTCATATTGATCAATCTTGATTTTCAATTCAATCTTCTTCCATGTTATTGAAAACTGTGACATGTGGACTTTGAGCATAAAGAGCAGGGTGTCAGGGTCATTACAGTTTTTATTTCGTGTTGATAGGACCAATAATACAGGAGAAATACATACAAAGTTTAATTTAAAGTTTGGACTGTGCTTGGAATGTTTGTACAGCATATTAAGCCTAAATGCATATGTGCATTCCTGTTGGTGGCAGAAAATGGTAAATGGTTGCATTTTTGTACAGTGCTTTTCCACCTTCAAGGCACTCAAAGCGCTTTACAAGAAGGAACCACTCACCCATTCACACACATTCATACACCAGTGTACACAGACACTAGGGGCGAGATGGGTTAAGTGTCTTCATTCGTCTGTGGGAGCTAGAATCGCACTGCCAACCTCAGTGGATCTGACTGCTCAACCAGTGTGTCTTATAGAGAGCAGGATTCAAATAATCTTCTGATCAGTAGACAAACGCTCTATTAACTGAGCTACTGCCGTCCCTAAACACGATGAGAAAACAGTTGTTTACTTTCCATAACTTGGCAAAAGGAGAAATTTAATTTGGACAGCCAGGTCAAGCCCAGAGGTGTGAAAGCTCCATTATGGCCCTGAATGATTATGCTAATATGACCTCACACTCAGTGCAAGTTCAATAGGCCGAGCTAACTAACAGAAATGTGAACAAGTAGGTGTGTTAGTTACAGAGTAGTTTCATTGTAGTTAGCTCCTCCCTTCAAGCAAGTATAAGGAAATATCCACCAGCATTTTGACCAGAACTGAAGAAGCAGCTTGGATGAGTTGCAAAAAGTATTCGGCCAAAATAAAGTTTTGTCCAGTTGACAAACTGAATTTCTCCTGGACGACTGAGGGATTGTGCACACATTTCCATAAAGATGAGAAGCACCAGAGGAGTGAAAGAGGAGAAAAGGTGAGCAGCTGCTTGAATCAAAAAGGGATGGAGGGGGAACAGGCAGGCTGGATCGCACACACAGAGGCAGACGCACACACACAGAGGCAGACGCACACACACAGAGGCAGACGCACACACACAGAGGCAGACGCACACACACAGAGGCAGACGCACACACACACAGAGGCAGACGCACACACACAGAGCAGACGCACACACACACAGAGGCAGAGCACACACACACACACACACAGGCAGACGCACACACACAGAGGCAGACACACACACACAGCACACACACAGAGGCAGACACACACACAGAGGCAGAGCACACACACAGAGGCAGATGCACACAGCACACAGAGGCAGACGCACACACACAGAGGCAGACGCACACACACAGAGGCAGACGCACACACACACAGAGGCAGACACACACACACAGAGGCAGACACACACACAGAGGCAGACACACACACAGAGGCAGATGCACACAAGCACACAGAGGCAGACGCACACACACAGAGGCAGACACACACACAGAGAGGCAGATGCACAGCACACAGAGGCAGACGCACACACACAGAGGCAGACGCACACACACAGAGGCAGACGCACACACACACAGAGGCAACGCACACACACAGAGGCAGACACACACACAGAGAGGCAGATGCACACAAGCACACAGAGGCAGACGCACACACACAGAGGCAGACGCACACACACAGAGGCAGACGCACACACACACAGAGGCAGACGCACACACACAGAGGCAGACGCACACACACAGAGGCAGATGCACACACACACACACACAGAGGCAGACGCACACACAGGCAGAGGGAGCGAAAGACTGGACTTTTGTGCAGATTTAAGTCAAAACTTGTGTATACATAAGGAGACATAAGGGGGCGTGCTGTGGCTCAGGCTGCCTTTTCCTAAACAAGAGCATAAATCCTCTTCAGCACCACGCACTCTTACTGCCACATGACTGGCTGCAGACCTCTTGATTAAAATGAGCATGTCTTATCATCGAGATTGACCAAAGTAGAGATCACAGCCCTAGTTTCAGACGACATCACATTTCTACATTTTCAGACGACATCACATTTTTACGTTTTCAGACAACGTAACATTTCTGCGTTTTCAGACGTCACATTTCTACGTTTTCAGACGACGTCACAGTTTTTACATTTTCAGACGACATCACATTTCTGCGTTTTCAGACGACGTCACATTTCTACGTTTTCAGATGACGTCACATTTTTACGTTTTCAGACGACGTCACATTTTACGTTTTCAGACGACGTCACATTTCTGTGTTTTCAGACAACGTCACATTTCTACGTTTT